AGTTATTTGGGTTGTGAGCTGAAATTAGCAGGGTGTTTTTTGTTTTGTTTTGTTTTGTTTTTAATGGAACATCATTTTTACTTGAAAGAACAACTGATAAAGACACAAACTATGATTAGTTAGACTTGCATTTTGGGTGATATTTTCTTAAAAATGAATGAAGTGAGTCTGTCATTTTAAGGAAAACAACTGAAAGTATTTGTTGTCAATAATAAAAGCTGAACTTTCAACCAAAAACTAGAAGTTTGGAAAATGTATCCACCACCATGAACTTGGCAACTTCCCAATATTTAAAGATTTTTCTAGTGAGATAATGTGATACTGGTAACTGATGTGGTTTTTTATATTATATAAAGAAAAATGTCAACATTTGGAAATCTACATAACTCAGTGCTCTAACATTCTCCACATGATCAATGAATGATGTTTAGAATCATGAATGGGTTAAAGATACAGTCAGACTTCAAAATAAATGAATGGACTACAGTGTAACAGTATGAATGTTCATTTATATGGTTTCAAATTCCATTTTGTAACTAACATTTATGCAACTATTAAGTGTTGAGTTTTGGCATAGTATCAAAGAATATCCACAATTGTATGAAAAGGCTATTAAAATATTTCTTTTTCTAGCTTAAAAGCAGGTGTGCATATTAAATGAAGTTAAGAATTGTGATTATTTATGAATACGAACGTTCTAATTTCTTTTTTTTTTTTTTAAAGATTTTATTTATTTGACAGAGAGACAGCGAGAGAGGGAACACAAGCAGGGGGAGTGGGAGAGGGAGAAGCAGGCTTCCAGCAGAGCAGGGAGCCCGATGCGGGGCTCGATCCCAGGACTCTGGGATCATGACCTGAGCCGAAGGCAGATGCTTACCAACTGAGCCACCCAGGCGCCCCGAACATTCTAATTTCTGATCTGAGGTCACACATATATTTAAAATGACACTGATCTTTCTAGTACCTTAGAGTGGTCAGAAAAGTGATAAAGTTTTCCCAAGTGTTCATCTAGGGAAAAGAGTGGGTGGGGGGATGGGGTAACTGGGTGATGGGCAGTAAAGAGGGCATTTGATGTAATGAGCCCTGGGTGTTATATGCAACTGCTGAAACACTAAATTTTACCCCTGAAACTAATAATACAGTATATGTTAACTAAATTGAATTTAAATTAAGAAAAAAAAAAAAAGAGGAACACCACGCACTCTATCTCACCCCCATTGAGTAAATTTTTGAGGCCCATAACAGGCAATAATGTTACACTTTTTCATAAGTAAATTGCAGGCATGGACATAGATGAACAAAGGCACTAAATCAAAGTGGTAAACAATATGACTCAAAGAGCAGGCGTTCCAATTATAGAACACGAACACACTTCAAACTGTTTAATCACAAAACCCTCCATGGCTGCAGCAAAGTGGAATAGAGGGCACTTAATATTGTTACACAGGGTACAGCATGGATTCTGTTACTTCTTTACAGTGTTTAATCCTTTATCAAATTAAATTTGACCTGTAAGTTACTTCTAGCCAGAAGCTAAGATAAGAGGGGGAAAGTACCAACAGGGTAGCAGACATGGACTGTACAGAGCAGAAACTTGCTCAGAGGCAAAGAAACTATTCCACTGAAAGAGTTCAGAGTGGCATTTTAGAGAAAGGATACTGGAGAATGCTGAGAGGAAGTTATGCGAAAATCCCAATGGAGCCTGAAATTCCTCTGGTAGCAGCCATGGAAAGGGGGATACTAATGTTATAACCATTGTTTTAAAGCATGGTAGGCCAAAGTTCACTGAGCAATGGCTGCATGTTTGCATGGAGGGAGAATGAATAATATATGCAAATTCCATGCTTAAAGTCCCCTTTTTTAGAAATCTGGCTTGCTTGATTTTGTCTCCCTAATCTACTTAGGAAGAGACCTTTCCTTTTGTTTTAATATCAAATAGGCTTTAGCATGGACAGGTCTAATGGACCTTTGCCATTGGTGGAGGCTTAACAGGGTATCAGGAGATTTTAAGTAAATTTCATTAGAAGGCTACAATCTCTACCTCATGAAAGATTATACTTTTAAAAATGTACAGGGTCAGGATATCCCTCCAATTTGCTAGAGCAATAACCTAGAAATATCCTGTGGGGATTACCTGTAGGCTTCTGATACCCCCTCAGTAGTCCCCTTGCAGTCATGAGCAAGCCACATAAACTCGGGGCTCAGGAGTGCTTGGACAATGAAAGTTTTCCCCCTTTAAGCAAACAACTGGAAAGAGTATGGCTAAATATAATTATTGTTTGGACATTGGATTTGACAGAAAATAAGTGGGTATGTTAATCACTTTTGACCAGTTTCTGGTTTTTTAAATCCTGAGTTTGTCTCATTGCTATAAAAGAAGTAGAATATGGCTTGTCCCAATGCAGGGAAGTATTCCTAATTTGGCAGATTCTACAACAAATAGAAAGAAACCTCTTTAAGTTCAATGGAATTAAAAATCAGGTATAGTTAGAGCTTTATAAAGACTTCTGTTTAAAATACAAATTTTTAGTGTTTGCATGTGAATAAGCATGAGAATTACTTGAAATTTTTAAAGCCCTGATGGAAGGAGATACTCATCTGACTCAGACTATCATGGGAATATAAATAAAGTATGACTCAGAAGAAAGGGTTAATAACCCAACACAGGGTCGGTAAAGACACTTCCCTTAACATTCTGTATACTTGGAAATTTGTTGTTTTTTTTTTTCGCTTTATATCTTGGAACTAATTCTGTATCGTTAATAAATTTTACTTATTTTTCTTCAGCAGCATAATATTCCATTGAATGGATGCATCATAATTTATTCGACCAACTCCACATTGATGGACATTTAAGTTGTTTCCAGTCTTTTGCTATTGCAAATAATACTGTAATGACTTGGTATTATACGTAAGTCATTTTGTACATATGTGAAAAATCGATAGCATAAATTCCTAGAGGTAGAATTACTGACCCTAAGAGTATGTGTGCTTATAATTTTGATAAATGTTGCTAATTTACCCTACACAGAGGTTGTACTAATTTATGTTCCTATCAGCAATATATGAAAATGCCTCTAACATACTCTCACTAATGCAGAGTGTTACCAAGCTTTGTGATCTTTTCCAGTTTGATGGGTTACCCATGATTTGTCAGTTTAATTTTAATTTGCCTTTCTCATTATGAGACTGAACATTTTTCAGATATGTTTTAGATCCATTTATATTTCCTTTTATGTGAACTCCTCACATTCTTTGCCCATTTATCTTCATGGTTACTGGTTTACCTATAGGTTTTTTAAATTTATTTTTTCTTCTTGTTTAATTCTCTTAACTTTAGGCCAAAATGAATCTGGAGTTGCTGTCCATGTGAGAGAATGTATTTAGTTGGCTGGTATTTGATTCGGACAAATGAACTTCTGGCTTATATTCCGATGAGTGGTTGAAGTTCCTTTTGAAGTTTGTTCAAGTACTTCAGTGAGGTTACTTTCTGTAATGCTGCTGCTAAAGGAAGAAATATTCACTTGTAGAAAGAGGCTTGAACTCCCTTTCTTTGTGCAGCTAGTTCAGCCACTAAACTTCATCCTGTAACCTAAAAATGATGGCTGATAATTGAGCCCAATTGGAAGTAAAGATGAGGGCTGAGCTTTGAAAATATATGTAATATATACTGGAAATGGGGGAAAGTGGAATGTGTTTCCCTTTTCCAGAAACCACAAAAATCTAGAAATGTTTGGTAGTAGTACTTTCAACTCCCCCAAACTTTACAAATGTCTGCTTTCCACTGCATTTCCTTATTGTCTATGTTGCAATTCATTTATTTCCATAAATGCCACCTGCATTTATGCAGTGAAGGAAGGTGTTCTTCCTTCCTGTCAAAAGTGAGAAGTAGTGGTTTATGATTGGTCTGACAGGGGCAATCTGCCTCAAAGAACAGCCCTGGCACAGCAGCATGTGAATTGGTAAGTTGCCAATTGTGCCTTCGAGAATAACAGCAGTTTTTGTTGATACACATACTCAAGGTATTGTTGTTAATTTTATTTTAAAAAAATTTTAAGGGGCACCTGGGTGGCTCAGTTGGTGGGGAAGCTGCCTTCAGCTCAGGTCATGATCCTGCAGTCCTGGAATCGAGCCCCACGTCGGGCTCCCTGCTCAGCAGGGGAGTCTGCTTCTCCCTCTCCCTCTGACCCTTCCCCAACTTGTGCTCTCTCTCACTCACTCTCTCTCTTTCAAATAAATAAATAAAATCTTAAAATAATAATAATTTAAAAATTTTAACAATTCTTATAGTTGTGTTTCTATTTACGTGTTCTCTGATAACATATTGACAGGTATTAGCCTTGACCTTTCTCCTGACCATCAGAAAAATATATCCTTATAACTACCTGTATTACCTAACCTTATCTTTGTGGGAAGATTTTTAACGACTGCTTCAGTATATTTAAGAGTTGCAGGACTATCCAAAGTTTAGTTTCTTCTTCAGTCACATGTCTTTTGGTATATGTATCTTTTTAAGAAACATATACAATACATTGTTCATGTTGTCTAAGTTTTCAAAATTGTTAGCATATGGCTGTTATATTTATAGCTAAAAAATAAGATTCTTTATAGACAAAAAAATTGGCACTTTGTAATATGAATTGCAAATATTCTTTCCAGTATTTCCATGGAGTTCATGAATGTTAAAATTTATTTGTTGCCTTTATCTTTGAATAAAAATTTGGATTATATAAACTTCTTGGGTCACACTTTCTCTCCTTAAGGCTTTTAGAGGCATTTCTCCAGTTTTCTAGAACTGTGTATTGTTGTAGAGAAGACTGATGTCAGCCTATTTTACTTTTCATCCTTCATAGATGACTCATTGTTTTTGCCTGATTGCCCAAAAGATTCAAAATTCAGCAGTTGTATTAGGATATATCTGTGTTGACCATTATGTGTCAGTTTTTCCTAAGACCTGAAATGCCTTTTCAAAATGAACATTTTCTTTAATTATATTTCAGATATTTGTTCTGATCCATTGTATAGGGATTTCAGGTAAGTGTATGTTAGACCTCCCTGTCTGTCTTCCCCAGATTCCATTTTACCTCTAATTATTTTAAATGCTATTTATTTTCACTTATTTTGTTTGCTTTTATCGTATCTAACCTCTCTGTTTCTTTTTGCATTCTTGTCAGCATCTAGTCTCCCTGGGCTACTTCCAGTTTTTACTCTATTTCTGTTATTTTTTAAACCACTATTCCCCCAAGAAATCTGCCAGCTCGTGTGTCACTCCTTTAGTTGTCTCTTATCTTCCTGAGCTTTATACCCCTGCCTTTTGCTCTTTGTTAACTAAAATATATAGAGAGAAATAAAATATACATATGCAAAATTTACCACTTTAACCACTTTTAAGTGAATGTTTCTGTGGCGTTACGTGCATTTACATTGTTGTTCTACCATCAGCACCATTCAGCCCCAGAACTTTTTTGTCTTTTCCAGCTACGTACCTATTAAATACTACCTCCTGATTCCTAACCTCCACCCCCAGGCCCTGGCAACCATCATTCTACTTTCTGTCTCTATCAATTTGACTACTCTAAAGACCTTATATAAGTGGAATTATACAATATTTTTCTTTTGGTGACTGGCTTATTTTGCTTAGCGTAATGTCTTTAAATTTCACCCATGTTGCAGCATGTGTCAGAATGTCCTTTTTTTTTTTAATGATTTTTTTTTCCTTTTTAGATCAGTTTTAGGTTCACAGCAAAGTTAAGAGGAAGGTACAGAGCTTTCCCATAAACTCCCTGCCCCCACAGATGCACAGCCTCCCCCATTATCAACATTCCACACCAGTGGTACATGTGTTACAATTGATACATCTACATTGACACATCATAATCACCAGTTTACATTTGGGTTCACTTTTGGTGTTGTACATTCTGTGGGTTTGGACAAATCTATAATGACGTGTATCCATCATTATGGTATCATACAGAGTATTTTCACTGCCCTAAAAATCCTCTGTGCTCCACCTATTCATCTTCTTCCTGCCCAAACCCTTGGCAAACACTGATCTTTTTACTGTCTCCACAGTTTTGGCTTTTTTAGAATGTCATATACTTGGAATCATATTATGTAGCCTTCTCAGATTGGTTTCTTGTACTTAGTAATATGCATTTAAATTTCCTCCATGTCTTTTCATGGCTTGATAGATTATTTCTTTTTTAGCACCGAATAAAATTCCATTGTCTGGATGTACCACAATTTATTTAACCATTCACCTACTGGAAGACATCTTGGTTGCTTTTAAGTTTGGGCAATTATAAATAAAGGTGCTATAAACATCCATGTGCAGGTTTTTGTGTGGATGTAAGCTTTCAACTTGTTTGAGTAAATACCAAAGAACATGATTGCTGGATCATATGGTAAGAGTGTGTTTAGTTTTGCAAGAAACTGCCAAACTGTCTTCCAAAGTAGGGGTACCCTTTTGCATTCCTACTAGCAATAAATGAGATTTCCTATTGTTCTCCTTCCTTGCTAACATTTGGTGTTGTCAGTGGTCAGGATTTTGGCCATTCTAATAGGTATGCAGTGGCATCTCATTGTTATTTTAATTTGCATCCTCTGATGACAAGGTGTGGGGCCTCTTTTCATATGCTTATTTGCTGTCTTTATATCTTTTTTTGGTGATGTGCCTGTTAAGGTCTTTAGCACATTTTAAAATCAGGTTGTTTGTTTTCTCATTGTTGAGTTTTAGGAGTCCTTTGTATATTTTGAATAGTTCTTTTTCAAATGTGTCTTTGGAAATATTTTTCTCTTAGTCTGTGGCTTGTCTTCTCATTCTCTTGACATTGTCTTTTGTGGAGCAGAAGTTTTAAATTTTAATGAAGTTCAGCTTATCAATTATTTCTTTCATATATTGTGCCTTTGGTGTTATGTCTAAAGTCATCATCATACCCAAGGTCATCTAGGTTTTCTCCTATATTCTCTTCTACTTGTATATACATCTCATAGTTTTCCATTTTACGTCTAGATATATGACCCATTTTGAGTTCATTTTTGCGTTTTTATGTCTAGATTCATGGCTTTGCATATGGATGTCCAGCTGTCTCAGCACCATTTGTTGAAAAGATGGTCTTTGCTCCATTTATTACCTTTGGTCCTTTATCAAAAATCAGTTGACTATATTTATGTGGGTGTACTTCTGGGCTATCTATTGATTTTTTTTTTTTTTTTTTTGGTCTATTCTTTCACCAATAGCTTTATAGTAAGTACTGAAGTCTGGTAATGTCAGTCCTCCACTTTCTTCTTCTCTTTCAATATTGTGTTGACTATTCTGAGTCTGGTCTTTCCATATAAACTTAAGGATCGATTTGTCAATATCCAAAAAATAACTTGCTGGGATTTTAATGGAGATTGCATTGAATCCATAGGTCAAGTTGAGAAGAACTGACATCTTGACAATGTTGAGTTTTCCTCAGTATTGAACAGGTACTATTTCTCTATTTACTTACTTTTTCTTTGATTTTTTTTTCATCAGAGTTTTGTAGTTTTCCTTATATAGATCTTGTACACACTCTGTTAGATTTATACCTAAGTATTTCATTTTGGAGGTTGCTAAAGTAAATGGTAGTGTGTTTTTAATTTCAAATTCCACTTATTCATTGCTGGTCTATAGGAAAGCAATTGACGTTTCTATATGAGTGTTGTATCCTGCAACTGTGCTGTAATTGTTCACTAGTTCTAGGAGTTTTTGTTGATTCTTTTGGATTTTCTACATAGACAGTCATAGTCACCTGTAAACAAAGATAGTTTTATTTCTTCCTTCCCAATCTGTATGCTTTTAATTTCCTTTTCTTGTCTTCAGCATTAACTAAGACTTCCAGTATAATATTGAAAAGGAGTGGTGAGAGGGGACTTCTTGCCTAGTTCCAGATCTTAGTGGGAAAGCTTCTAGTTTCTCACCATTAAGTATGATGTTACCTGTGCGTTTTTTGATAAATATTTTTTACCAAGTTGAGGAAGTTCCGCTCTATTCCTCTTTTACTGAGTTTTTATCACAAATAGGTGCTGGGTTTTGTCAAATGCTTTTTTCTGCATCTATTGATATAATCATGTGCTTTTTCTTTTTTAGCTTGTTGATGTGATGGATCACATTAATTGGCTTTCAAAATTTGAATCAACCTTGTATACCTGGAAAAAATCCTCCTTGGTTATAGTATATAACTCTTTTTATACAATGCTGGATTTTATTTGCTAATATTTTGTTGAGGATTTTTGCATCTATGTTCATCAGAGATATTGTTCTGTAGTTTTCTTGAGATGTCTGTGTCTTGTTTTGATATTAAGGTACTGCTGGCCTCATAGAATGAGTCAGGAAGTATTACCTCTGTTTTTTTTTTTTAAGATTTTATTTATTTGACAGAGAGAGTGTGAGAGAGCGTGCACAAGCAGGGAGAGTGGGAGAGGGAGAAGCACACTCCCGGCTGACCAGGGAGCCCGATGTGGGACTCAATCCCAGGATGCTGGGATCATGACCTAAGCCGAAGGCAGATGCTTAACCGACTGAGCCACCCAGGCATCCTCCCTCTGTTTTTATCCCCTGAAAGAGATTGGCAAAAATTGGTATGATATCTTACTTAAACGTTTGGTGGAATTCACCAGTGAACTGATTTGGGCCTCATGCTTGCTGTTTTGGAAGGTTATTAATTATTGATTCAATTTCTTTAATAGATGTAGGCCTATTGAGGCAATCTATTTCTTCTTTTGTGAGTTTTTGCAGATTGTGTCTTTCAAGAAATTGGTCCATTTCATTTAGGTTATCAAATTTGTGGGAATAGACTTGTTCTAGTCTTCCTTTATTACCTTCTTCATATCTATGGGATCTGTAGCAATGTTCCCTCTCTCATTTCTGATAGTAATTTTTATCAACTCTCTTTTTTTCTTAGTTAGGCTGGCTAGGGATTTACACTTTTATTGATCTTTTCAAAGAACCAGTTTTTGGTTTCATTGATTTTCTCTCCTTTCTTTTTCAAGGCTTTTAAATACATTGCTTGTATGTATGCTCTTGTTTACTGATGAATTGTTTCATTAACTGTTTAAATCCATGACAAAACATTTGATCAACATTTTCATCTGTTTCATGGAAATACTGCTTTGATCAGTGTTCATCTGCATTTGTATTCTTATTCCTTTTCTCCTCTTTTCTTGTCATATTTTTATATAGATCCTGGATGGTTTATTTTTGATTTTTCAAATTGACAAGTGGGTTCCTTGACCAGCTACTTGCTAATGGATCATATATTGGAGATGCTAAAGCTATGTCTAAGGCTAGCAGCATTCTCCCTAGAGCCCTTAGTTAAATGTGAGAGTCCATTTAACTGTTACCTCTCCCTGGCCAACAGAGGGGCAGCTTTAAGACTCACATCATTCAGAGACTTTTCAGTCCTTTACCTCACCAACAGCTGTTGCTTAAAAAAATGGCTTGTCAATCAGTTATATCCTTGTTCAGTCCTATTACCTCTTCTTCTCAGAGTCAAACTAGTGTATGGATGCTTCTGTCGCCACCCCATGCTCCCTGTCCCTGTTAGGACACTTGAAGATTTTAGCTCTTTATCTTGGGCATGCTCCTCATCTTGGGGTATTGCCAGCTCTCTGAGGGATTTGCATTCACAGTCCTCCCCTCAGCTTCCTCCCACATCCTGTTTGATCGTCACTGCTTTTGGCAGCCCGTCTATCTATCTGTGGCTTAAGGTTTCATATGTATCGGGCAACGATCTCGTGTCCCCTCCCTCTTTGGGAGCTTTGTACTATTGCTTCACTATCGCTCAATAAACCTTGCTCTGCTGCCCACCAAACACCCCCCCAAAAAAAACCAAAACCAAAACCAAAAAACCAAACAAAGAACACACAAACAAAAACAAAAACATAAAGATTTCATATGTATCATACTTTGCATTTCTCTTTCTCATTCTTCTTTTGGGTGATTTCCTAGAGGAGAAGGAGGAAAGGCCAATTTTACTCCATTATTATTGAACTGGAAATCTATATCAATTCTTCTTCTGTAGTTTAGGATAAGTCATTCTCAAATAAATGTTTTATTGTTTTGCTTGTCTTTTGTTTTGTTTTGTGTTGTTGTTGTTTTGTTGTTTTTGTAAACCTCCAAGTTAGAGAACCCTTTCAGGTAATATTGTGGCTATTTGAACCAAGGAGCCCCAACTGACAATTACAATCAAGAGCATTTTGATAAGAAAGTAGAAAACAAAGGAGTATCAGTCAGAGAAGTAGGCCTGAAATGGGTCATTGATAGTTTTGTATGTTGCATGCAGTTATCTTCATGCCCTCTGATTCAATGATCAGAACCATCAGTGTCTTTCTACCACCCAATCATTCCAACAATCTTCAGGTATGAATGAAAACAGCTGTTCTTGGCTGATATTGAGATTGTGATTTAAGAACTCCCCTTCCTTCAGCTAAATGCACTCATTATGCAGTTCTGCAGGTCATTTTTTATATCTAGGGTCTATAGCAGGGCTGATTTACTGTGGGAAAAGAAAGTGTGGATTCAGGAAGCCCGTGAAATATACCTCTCTGATCTGCATGCATATGTGAAATTCCATTGGTAAAAATTTATTCCTTTGTGTTCTATGGGCTCTTTTCAAATGCCTATATTTCTTTGGAAATGATATCATCAGATGTCGTCATATGTCATCATTGACATCTTTGTGTAAATCACTTTTAAGAAATTGTTTCTAGAGGAAGGAACACTGAGAAAGGAAATAGAGGAAATAGAAATTAAGGAATATCCAAGATAAACACTGAACACCAAGATGAACACTGCCCATTTAACAATTTGATCTAGCTGGACTTGTGTAAAAACAATGCAAGTCAAGGGGCACCTGGGCAGCTCAGTCAGTTGGGCGCCCAACTCTTGACTTTAGCTTGGGTCATAGTCTCAGGGTCATGGGATTGAGACGACTTGGGCTCCATGCTCAGCGGCGGTCTGCTTGAGATTCTCTCTCTTCCTCTGCCCCTCCCTCCCCCCCATCCCTCTCAAGTAAATGAATAAATCTTTAAAAAAAAAAATGCAAGTCAAGTTGTTACTCACATGTTATTAATAGTTAAAATTATATAAACATACCTATAGGCAAATAAAATCTAAAGTTTAGTATGTGAGCACATCTTGGTGAGAAGGCAAACTCTTTTTAGATGCCTATAAGTAAATTCCTGCTTTCCTTCTCTACTCTATGGAATTTTTAAGCCTTGCAATCCACACTAAGTCCAGTTGACATTATTGTTCTTTCTAGGGCATACCTCTCCTCTATGCAGGCTTAGCTACTGTTCTTTTTATATCCTGTGAAGCAATACTGGCCATAGCAGCTAGTTTAAGGGTAATTAAAGAGTAGCACCTTGAGATTTTGCAACATCAAAGGCACTTATATTATATGAAGAGTGATGTTAGGATTAGATTTAAGCTTTCCCATACCAGGCTGGCATGGATAGTTGTTGCTCGAAGTCAGAATTATTAGTCATTTCATTTTTGGAAATGGATTTTAAAAATTAAGTTGATGGGGAAATGTGAACATTGAAGACCAGCTTGGATTCTAATATTAAAAAAAAACTGTGAATTGGAAACTATCTCCTGATAGTAGTGCTGTTTTGATTGACACTCTCGTAAGGGTATATATAATAAAATCATCCATACATTATATATAAATTTACCATCATTTCCAAAGCCACAGAGAACACATTGTTACTCCTTCTCAAAAGTACTCTTAATCCCTTGGCTTATACAACTGGAGTTACACTGCCAAGACAGTCATTTCAATTTCTTGTCCCATAAACAGAAACACTTAGGCACAAATACTTTTAATAAGAAAATTTTTTGAAGGACATTTAATTAATAGTTATGGCTTTAGAAATGATTAGTTAATAGGAGTCATGCATATACTGAATATAGTGCTCTGAGAACTCATTTATTCACTGAACATTCACCTAATTGAGAACTTTTCCAGAATTTAATATTTTTTTTCTTCTTACCTTTTAGTCATTTCACATTTTGGTACTAAGATCAAGAGAAAGACAAATGATAAGATCCAAACAGCCCAATGTCTATCAACTAGTGGAATGGATAAATAAAACGTGGTATAGCCACACAATAGAATGTCATTTGGGAATAAAAATAAATGAAGCACTGGTACCTGCTATGCCATGGGTGAACCTTGAAAGCATTATGCTAAGTGAAAGAAACCAGTCATAAGTGACCACATACAGTGTGCTTCCTTTTATATAGAATGTCAGAATAGGCAAATCCATAGAGACAGAAGGTAGATTAATGTTCACCTAAGGCTGAGCACTGGGAAGCGGGATGGGAATGACTGCTAAAGGATATGAGATTTCCTTTTGGGGCAATGAAAATGTTCTAAAATTGATTATGGTGATGGCTGCACAAC